GGCAGCTACATCAAAACGCCTACAGAGACTTCTCTGTTTATAGCAGTATGACGCAGAAATCAGATGCAGGCCTGGAAGAGAGATGTATCTCGCCGATGCCCTATCAAGAGCCTATCTAACCCAAAGTTCTACTGGCACACAGAGATCAGAGACCGAGAAAGAAGTAGAAAGTATTCATGCTGTAGACTATCTAGCTATCTCCGAGCAGCAGCTGAGTGAAATAAAGCAAGAAACAGCTAAAGATCCAATTCTTCAGACCCTCAAAAACGTGATCTTAAGAGGATGGCTTGAAAACAGCAGTTCAGTGCCAAAGGAAGTCTCCAAGTATTTCAATGTCAGAGACGAACTTGCCGTACAAAGACTTTGTGGACGAAGGACAAGAACGCTTCTTCCAACAGCAACGAGTCTTCTGAAACCTTCAATAACCCCTGGTGTGCGAGAGAAACTTCTTAAGATGAAAGAGCGTCAGACCTATTACGTACAACAGAGGAACTCGTGAGCTGTCGCCCTTACGGAAAGGTGATACTGTTGTAATGCTACCTAGTCCCCAAGCTCGAAAATGGAAGAAAGCCCAAGTTGAAGACCAAGTGGACATGCGATCTTACGCAGTACGCACTGAAGATGGACTAGTCTTTCGGAGAAACCGAAGACACGTAAAGAAGTACGATCCACCTCCATCTACACACACTCCGGACGTGGAGGTCGGGCCTTCAAAGATCACGGCTACATCAACGCCTCTAGCAGAAGGAGCGGCAAAGGACTCTGAGGAGCCACCCATACAACCACCCCAACCAGTATCAGCAGTACCCCAACCAGTATCAGCAGACCCCTCTACTCCACCTTCGAGTCCCACGTACCAGCACCAGCAGCTGTGGAAGACCTACCTGCAGGAGTAGCCGCAGCAACTAGGAGCAGACGTCAGGTTAGGTTACCTGCTCGTTTCAAGGATTTTGAGTTGACCTAGTTTTACTAGGAGACATTGAACTTTGCGTTATGTTTTATGGCACTTCTGGAACTTTGAACCTTGGCCATTTCGTTGACATTTATTGGGCTCATAGTTTGTTGAGGCCTTGTTGTGTTTATTACTTCGAAGGAAATTCTCAAGACCATTACTCGTATCTTTATTGTAGTAGTTTTTTATTTGTTTTTATTTATTTTTTATTTTTTTTTACAAAAGGAAGGGTGTAACCCCACATGATAGTTGTTGTCCAATAGGATATCAGATAGGACATGTGCTCGGGTTCATGTCAGGCTGTACTTTGAACCGACTCAGGGATTAAAAGTATCTTTTAAAATAAAACCGGTTTGTTGCTGTTTAAAGCCAAAAAGTTACAGGGTGTTTCCACTTTGACATGATACTTGCCATTGAATTCTGATTGTATTGTTATTATAACCAAATGCTCAAATATCAGGATTATCATTTCGTCTGCCTAACTTGCACTGGTGGCCAAAATAATCCTCTAGAGAATCTTGACAGAAGCGCTCTGTTAAGACAAACTCCATTCCTTCTTGGAGGAGAAATTGCGTAGCCTCAATAACAGAATAGACTGTGAACTGAAAACCTTCCTGAGTTTGCCACGAGATAAACATTTTTCTTCTTGCATTCTGCCCGAAATTGCCAGGTCTGTTGTTACATGCTTCTTTCCACGTCTTGAGGTAATCAAGAAATTTCAGTAACCACTGAAACCTGAAATAACAATTAAAGATAATTTAGACTTGTCATATTACAAGGGTTAGGGTTGTCATATTACACATTAATCTGCTATATGAAAATTTCAATGTATACAGAAAGGTTAACAGAACAGTTTAATTTACATTTTCATCAAGAACCGCAGCTGCACTATCCGTTATTTTGATTGTTTACATTGGATGTAGCAAGGGAGCCTCGTTTTCATGTGATTTACATAAGGATGTATTTCTTAGGTTACTGTGCTGTCAATCAAGTACAGGATATTATTATACCAGTGTAAAGCACTAATTGGTTTAACTGAGGGGTGGGGTTAGGGTCACAATAAACATACAATTTGCACTACATGTATAGCATTCAAACAAAGTAATGACAAGATTTATGTATACCACATTCACATGTTAAATTTATAATTACAAAAAAGAGGAAAATATACACATGACAACATATACAACTAATAACAATTATAATTGTCGTACCTGCCATCCTGAGAGCCACGGTATGGAGCTAGCAAGGGTTTTCTTTTCCTTTGGTGTTTTGTGGTGCATGCTTCTGACATTTAGGCAATCGAAAAACCCATCCACCATCTTGCAGTACTTTGCTGTACCTTCTGCTTCTGGAGGTCCAAATGACCTGAGCACTACAGCCATTGAAGCACTCAGCACCTGAGCAGCCAGGTTGACACGCATCTTTGAGTAAGCATTGAGGTTGATGTGGTCATATGTCAATCTGGGTAGAAGCTAATGAAAAGTCATCATTTAGAAGTGATCGAATTAGCGCGGAGTCTTCCAGGTCAGAGGAGAACTCATCCATATCAATGGCACGTAAACGTCGAAAAGATAACATTTGATCTTGACCAACAGGTTTACAAAAATCCAGATTACACCGGATCATAAAATGATCAGAAAGTGCAGGATCAAAGACTAAGAGATTCTTGATGAAAGATTGTTCCTCTCTAGTGATAACGAGGTCAAGAGTATGGCCATTCTTATGCGTAGAATCATTTACATGCTGGCGAAGGTTAAATGAATGAAGAAGGCCAGTAAATCGCCGACCAGCATTATTTTGAGAATCAACATGAAATTTGAAGTCACCAACAATCAGCGAATAGCCTGATGCTATTACTATATGGGCAAGATAGCTAGCAAACTCATCAAAAAACAGTGACACATCGAATGAAGGAGGACGGTACAATACAATTAAACGGACAAAACACTTCGTAGCCCTGAATTCCAGCTCAAGATGTTTGAAAGAGCAATAGGACTCATGTACTTGAATTTTAGCCTTGATATTATTCTTGAGAACAATGCCAACCCCGCCACCAGTGGTATGTAATCGAGGAACATGGTGGAAAGCATAATTTTATCCGTCTGGAAAAATGTCACAGATATAATATACATCCGAGTCATCACCACGAAGCCACGTCTCTGACAGGGCAAAGAGGTCGATATTGTGATAAGCCATAAAATCTTTTAGCAGCCGAGACTTGTTACAAATAAATCGAGAATTTAAAAGGAAAAAATCCAAAGGTACATCGGTCGATAACTTAGATCGCAATGGATCCGGACGAATACAAATTAATTTGTTCACATTGACACCTAAAGGGCGTGATTCACAGATTTACAACGTTGAAGTGGCATTTTGATTATTTAATGAAACATGGTAATGGCGACGACCAGAACAAATCACAGGAATCCTAAGACCAATTCCCGTTGATTTTTGTATGAAGAATATACATACTGATTTTAAGGTGCAATGGGTCAATGGGTTTGTGTCGCTGGCCTCTTAAACCCCCTACCCCATAATCGTCTATTCTGTGGCTAGTTATAGACCCCATCTCAGTCACTTTTGGGCCACTCGGCTCGTAAACATCTGACTCTACCTCACCATCCACTGGCACATCTCCTTTAGCCTATCCTTGACCGCCTCCCGGTTAGCTCAATGGATAGAGCGCTGGACTGTTGTGCGGGAGGTCGAGGGTTCGAGCCCCGGCCGGACCAACACTCAGGGTCTTAAAATAATTGAGAAGAATTTGCTACCTTTCTATAACATCAAGAAATGGTTAGATATTCTAGTCTTCTCGGATAGGGACGAATAAATGGAGGTCCCGTCTCCTGCAGGGTTGGGGTAGGAGACGTTAATTTCCCACACACGAGATTACTGTGTGATGGATGTCCTCCCCCTGGGGTGGGATGGGTGGGATATAGGGCGCACTTAATTTGGAGCCTCGCTCTGTTGTGCGACCCTCACCACACTCTGGCGAAAGTGATTAAATAAAGCTATCACTAGAAAGTATCCCCTTCTAGGCACTGACTTCAGTCATGTTCTGATCACATGCTTTTCCTGAACTTTGATCACTTTCTTTTAAATGAATCTGGAAGGAAAATAAATTGATGAAATGACACTTGGCAGGATCCATGTAAAATAACCATGCAGTAGGTCTCGTGATCAGTATGAATAGTTCTTACTTCTTTGTAATTATAAAACCCAGCAGGAAAACAAGCTAGTGCCAGGTGCCAATTGTAGAGAGAAAGAAATCCAGGCCAATTCCTGCTTACCTGACCTTATATTCTTGCCCGCACTTCACATGTGGTGAAGCTTAAGCAAGAATATTATCATTCCATCATCATTTAATTTTTTGGTATTTCGCGCTATTCAACAGTGTGATACTGTGGCATGTTTTGTGCATACCATTGCCCTCTGAAAAAATTTAAAATGGTATGACAGTTGAATTATAAACACATATATTTATTATGCATATATTATGCAGGACTGTGGAATACTCTTCCACCCAATATAAAATGTACAATCTCGCTCTTAACATTTAAATCTAAATTAAATAACCTATGTTGTTCTAACTCGTCTCATACAGTCCTCTAAGTTAGTATTTTATAACTTAAATTGACTTGCTTTTTTGTAAACATGCATATTCTAGCCTATTTATTGTGTCTCTTTTTCATCGTATTATAGGGGTTAGGTCTCAGTAGGGACGAAAGTTCTGTTCCTCGCTCCCGCCACTCCACTTTACTTTTTCTTTTCTTGTAACTGTGTAATGTAGATTAGTTTTTTGTATTTGTTGAACCGTGGTCAATAAATTAAAATTAAAAATATTAAAAACATTTGCCTGCTTGACAGACTAAGGAGTATTCATAGTCTGTAGAATTGGCAAATCCCTTCCAACCAATGGTGAAGTTTTCCCCAATGCTTACTATTTTAAACCTAAAATCTTAAAATTCAATGTAAACCTGCATTTCAAATGAGATGTATTTGAATATATAGCAAAACTGTTGTTTTCTTTTATAATTTCATTCAGTCAGCAGCTTTGATTTGGATGACAAACAAAAAAGATGGGTTGTGATTGGAGTTACATTAAACAAGCTTCTATTACCAGTTCTCCGTGGCTTTGCTCGAAAGGAACTTGCTAAACACTACACGTCATTGAAGAGCTCTAGTGGAATTGATAAGCAGGTTCATCCCACTCACTTGAAGAAAGATGGATCATTTGATTTAAACTATGGCAGCATTAACAACAATTGGGGAACATTCAAGAGAAAAGTGCATCGATATGATTACAAAGTGAAATCTGCTGAGGATCTGGCCAAACTTTACCTTGAACCACACATGGCCAAGTTTACAGGTGAATGATTGAGTTTTCTTCGCGTATCTTTCCCATTTTGGACACAGAACGACGCTTTACCCAACAATCTCAAATCCCTAGTTGATCCTTTCGATAATTATCACTTACAGTCGAATACAATGACGAGGAACAAAGTTTATAATATATACTTTTGCCAGATCAGCCTGCGATTTCTTATCGGCACGTCGATCTCTTACACACCTGGCTTGGCGCTAAAGCGCATGGCCAAAAGACTCTTGGGCTGACAAGACTCTGACTTCATGTTCAGCCGAGTCAAGAGTCATACTTGTCAACCTGGAAACTAGGATATTACCAGCACAGTGTTTCTCTCTAAGAAGACGTCTACTAATAATTTACCTTGTATGAGTATCTTACTCCTTTTTCTAACCTCAATTATAAATCCTATTGCATATTTTCAGGTTTTGATAGCACATGCGACTTGTCAGCAGTTTTAGGAATGCTGGCCAATTCATCTGTGTTTCACCCTCGCATCCAAACAAATGCTAAGGATGTGCGCTCCAAAGTAAGAAATGAGTGGGGACACTGTAACTTTGATCTCTGGAATGAACTGGACTTCAACAACAGTTTCCAACTCATGGAGACATTGATTCGTTCTTTGGGGCTTCCAACAAAAGCCGATGAAGACCAAGTATGTGATGAGCTTCAGGAGTGGGAAACCAAGGGTTAGTCATGATGATGTGCATGTGGCACATAAGGCCCTAACCAAATATTTTCGGTGCATACCTCTCCCAGGGTGGACCCTAGTCTTCCTTTTAAATACTTTTGGATGCCTCTTCAAGGGTGAGCACAAGTCTTTCTTGCAGCTCTGTGTGAGCTGATCTTCTCAACGACAGGTTTATCAGTTCTCGCCCACATTTGCCCTGTGGGGGAATTTAACCAGTGTCTTGACAGAAAATGTAAAGTCCATTGTTTTCCATCTTCCCTTTTTAATTTTTTTCTCCTAAGCATTAAAGACTCTTTGGCTACCCAAGGTAAACTATTCACATCATGGCTGACGTTGTATACATTTCATTTGTTTCTCGGCAGGTTTGAAATTATGCATGGGTTCTCCAGTGGACAAGGATCTGATGAAACTTGTCAGCATTGAAGTAACCAACTTAACACAAAACTTAGAGGCCATAAAGAAATTCAATGTTGATGAAGCTAAGAGGATAGGAGAAGCTCTTCAAGACGCCACAGATGAAATAACGAAGTTTGATAAACGTATAACGGACATAGAAAGTCGACTGGAGGAAGAGCACCAGGCGCAAACAGAGAAGAACAAAGACTTCTCATCAACAATTGAAGATATTTCTAACAACATAACTAGAATGGAGGAATGCCAAGATACAAATGAACAAAACATTTCCTTGTTAGAAGAAAGACATAATGGGTTAGAATCAGCTGTAACCTCTTTAAAAGGCGGACAGGGTGCCCTAACCTCACAGGTGGAGGATTTAGAGTTCGGACAAACTCAGTTAGATTTTCGGCTGAAAAAGTTAGAAGAGGGTAGTGCCATTGCCACAGTCTATGCTGAAATTTTGAATCTACCCAGTCGCAATCATTGCTTTTGTGGTCGCGAACGTGAGCTACAAAAAATTGCAGCACAATTGAAAAATGTTGTGAGCGGTTGTTCGGAATCAGCTATATGCGGTCTCGGGGGTGTAGGAAAAACATCACTTGCTGTCGAGTTTCTCTGGCGACAGAAAGAAAAGGAGGAATATCCCGGTGGTACTTTCTGGATTTTGGGCGAAAACAACAACCTTTTCCAGTTGTCTGTCAGCGAGATGGCACGTCAAGTTGGAACTTTTGATGACAAAGACTTTTCCAATTCGCTGTCAAGAACCTTGGACTGGTTGAGAAAGCGTGAACAGCTGTGGTGTCTAGTGGTTGACAATCTGGATGAGTTAGAAATATCCATGGATATGCGGAAGTTACTTAATGGTTATTGGAAACAAGCCGGCCGTGGTCATATCATCATAACCACGAGAAGAGAAGCAAGGGAAACCGGAGAAGAAACAGGAATCGAAGAAACTTCTTGTATTGAGTTGAAATGCTTCACAGCGGAAGAGGGAGTTCAATTTTTAAAATCAAGAAGTGGTACAGCCGGAGAGGACAGTGATTTTCGTGAGCTGGTAAGAGAGCTTGGAGGACTGCCCTTAGCTCTTGATCAAGCTGCTGCTTATATCCGATCCCTTCGCCAGCCTATCAAAGAGTATCTGAAGAAGTATAGGAGACTAAAGATGCATCTCTTGAAGAAGAAGAAAGCTCGTAATCTGGTGGAAAATACAACATCTGAGAGATTGGCAGTCCACACAACGTGGCTGTTGAATTTTAACCAAGTTAGTCAAATGTCAGAAGAGATGGATCTTGGTGAAACCCCCTCAATCGTAATGAAAATTTGTGCCTACCTAGGTCCAGATGACATTCCGTATCAGATTATAAACGAAGGACTCCACGTCGTGGGAACTTCTGGAGCAGTAAGCGATTTGTGGGATGCTGCCGAGATAGTTTCCCTTCTAACCAAGTTTTCCCTTTTTCAAAGGTATGGGACAGATTCTGTCAGTGTTCATCGTTTGGTGCAAGACGTTATCCGAAGTGAGATTGAAAAGGACAAAATTGAACTGCGTGTACTTTGCTGTGCAGTGCACACGCTTAACCATGCACTGACAAAAACACGCTCGCCAGCGGAAGTCTGCAAAAGTTTCTTTGAAGATGCGGTTTTCAGTGTTGAGAATCCTCCTTCATTACAACTGTGGGGCAAGTTGGCTTCGCACTCGACCTATTTGCAAGAACATTTGCGTAGCTACCTGGAGAAACATGAAAATGATGTCGAAAGTTTCTACACCGATGCAACTGTTCGTATCTTCAACGAAGCAGCGATATTTTTTAGTGTGTCGCAGGAGAAAGTGAAAGCTCAGGCCATGCAAAAAAAGAAACTAGAGTTGCTAGTACACCTTGGAAAGCCAACCCCTGAGGAAGATTGCGACTTGCCGCATTATTTTGTTGATGTACCTTTGAAAGACAAGGACTACAAGGTGATCACGTGTTGTATGAGAAACCCTTCTCCTCAAAACGAGGTCCTGGCTGGAGAAGATTCTATTCATAATGAAAGGAAGGAGGAAGCCGACGAACTGAGGGAAAAGGGGAACGATGCATTTAAAAATCGCAGGTTTAAAGAAGCACTGAATCTTTACACAAGAGCCATTGATCTGTCGCCTGATGATCACCAGCTGTTTTGTAATAGGGCCCTCTCCCATTTGAAACTTGAAGACCCAAGAAAGGCTTTGCAAGATTGTAAAAAGTGCCTTTATCTAAAACCTGATTACAGTAAAGCACTTCAACGAAAAGCTTGGGCTCTGCGAGAACTTGTTGAAAGTGGAAATAGTGAGCTTGAAGGGCAGAAACGTGCAGCTGTTGCAGTAGCCCTTCACTTCGATCCCAGTCTTCGCCAAGACAGAACGTTTTGTCAGATGTTCCCTAAAGTAACAGTTGGTCGTGTCACAGAGATATACAATGAAACTCAGCTGGCCTTTGCCTTGATGACAATTCAAGGAAACGAAACTTTGCTGTTACACGAGGGTGAATACCATTTGAGTGCCTTTCGAACACCTAGTGACCTTCAGGTTGTAGGTCTCGGATCTAACACTTATGTAGTTGACGTTAGCTTTTAGGAAACCATACGTTCACGGTTTTGACTCGTAAAATGTTTAATACCACGTAAAAACTGTAACAAAACGGTAGCAATACACTAATTGGACACAAATTAATTATAAGAACTGTTCGATAAATACTAGACAAGATGACAATGCAATGAACTCCACGTGGGAACGAATATTAACATGAAACAACACAATTTCAATCGACGATTTACAGTTAAGATTCGTGTTCCATATGACTCAATAAATGGGAAGATCAAACTTAAATCAAATATATTTCATCATACCTCTTTTCCCTCTTAGCGCAAGGATGAGACCTTAAATCGTTTTAATCGAACTCTGAGCCTTGCCCTTGTCGTTATTCCGCATATCTAATTTCTGTCACGCAATGAACGGACCTTACAAACGTCACAACTTACTTGAATTGTGCAAAGATCTGCCAAATTTCTAGCGCCAAATGTTATTTTGAAAATATTGTGTTTCCAAGGGGGAACGTTTCCCTCGTCTGTCTTGGGAACAATGGAAGTGCACACTTAAATCAGTGTGTCATTTCAGGAGGAGAGATAAGTTGCGAGGACTATCCAGATTGCAACGGAGTTCCAGGCTGTGTGGCACCCTCTTTGGGGAAACCTGCTTGCGATCGGACGGGAAAATTTGGCGATTCAGATTCAACGTCTGGCATAAGCGGTTTTCCAGGAGTTGTGGTTTCACTCGAGAGCTCAGGATTGATTGAAAACTGTGTAATTTTTAACTGTGGGGGTGGAGGTGCTCTTGTTGTTGGGCAAGGTTCTCGACTACTGGTGAAAAACTGCGAGGTGTACAAGAACCACCAATCTGGGTTAGAGGCAAGGGAAGGAGGAGAACTTGAAGCGCTCGGAAACAAGATATTTGACAATGGTAATCACGGCATTCTGATTTGGAAACTCGCGGGGAAATGTGACGTCAATGACAATAAGATATTTGAAAATGGAAAAGTAGGCATCATCGTCGGCGATACAAAAGAGAAGATAACTTTACAAAACAACAGTATTTATCACAACAGAGCCTTTGGTATTTCTCTTGATAATGATTCTCAAATGTTTATTAGCAACAATAAGATTTTCGAGAATGGATTTTGGGGCATCGTCGCCAATAGGCGAACATCGGCACACATAGTAGGAAACGAACTCACTGGCAACAAATGTGGTGGGATTTTTATTGGAGTCAATTATTCTGGAAGGGTTCTTCTGGAAAAAAACACTGTCAGAGATCACAGTGGCCCTTGGCTTGAGTATCAATTCAAAGTGGATAGCCCGAATATTGACTTCAGTTCACTCGATGGCAAAGATATTGATGCACTGGGGTTTTTAAAGCTTCCAGAGGGTGAAAAGCGTACTTATTCAAAAGCACCCATTCTCAAGGAAAACAAAGTACTAAACAATGAAGAAGGCATGTATCATCCCAGAGAGGTGGCTGAACGAAGCTGTAGCGGTTGCATCTATTGTCGTCGCCGAAGAGATAAAGTAGTGAGTTTTGTGAAGTGCCAAGGATGTCACATTGCATCTTACTGCAGTAAAGAATGCCAGCGCAACCATAGACCTAAACACAAGACAATATGTTTAGCTCTCAAAACTCGCTATGCTGTTCAAGTTGACCGAATTTCATCGGCACATATGCCAGGATTTACATGTATCCCGACGCGGATGTTTGGCTCTCACCTAAAGGGAATTGGAAAGGGACCAGAACCAAAGCCCAATAAGGAGTTCATCGTCAAAATTCAAACACGAACTCTTAACAGTCACCCACTGCAGTTGATGGTACTTTACGACCAAAGTGTCACGATCGATTGTTACATCGTTAGTCCAGAAATCTTTAACGTGATAATGGACTGCGGCGTGCTTGGAGCTTTGGAAAAGTTTACGATTAAGAAATGTTTTTTCTGGGCCATGTTCACTGAACCAGGAGGAAAGCTGACGATTTATATCGATCATTTGGCTCCTTATCAGAAGTGGTAAAGATCCAAGAGTTTGTCTCGGTACAAATACTCCGAAGATTTCAACTTTTTTTTCGAGATGCTAAGCAGTCAACCATAGTGGTCCTTTACACTAACACTCTTTCAAACGAGCGGGTTAATTAATACTCTCAGTTTAATTTATGTTTTCTAATCCAGTAAAAAGGCGTTATTGTGTGATTGGAATCCTATAGTACCTCATAAGAAGACAACCAAGCGACTAAGTTTATGAGAAATTAGTGTGTTGCTGTGTGGCAACAAACCATTTTAAGGCCACCTTGCGTACCAATTTATTTCCGTTCCCTTTAAATAAAGTAGTAGCTGCACAATCAAGAAGGGGTCACATCGTGCGTTTTCACTTGTAAAATACAATTATTTAGTCATTCAGTTTAGATTAGAGTTTCAGTGAAGAATTTTTACCCTTTCGATCTTTTTCTCAGCTCCTCTGAGAAACAAGAGAATGTGTTTCTTAAAAAATCAAATATAAATTAACTTTCTCAAATTTTGTTGTTGGATTTGAAAAATAATGAAATTTGAAATATGATGCTGAGTAAATATTAACCAACAGATAGCAAGATTAGCAGTTACCGATTTTTCCCTTTTTGTTATCCATTTCCAAGAAGAAAGTCAGACTTAGTAATACTACTTAACATTTATTCTTAACACATAGTCCAATTGGGCCAGAGTAGGTTCTCGGTACCACTTAGGGAGAGAAAATGCGAGTGTTATCTGATAGAATGTTCTGTGAAAGACTTTACAAATTCACTTGATAGCGATCGTGAAAGTGTAGCTTTCCCAATTTTTTCTGTGCTCCTCTCACAACGACCTTGGGTTCCCTGCGAATCAACAACCAAACAAGAAGCACAGTAGTTCGCTCATCGTTCTTCCACTTGCTTTTTGTGATGCCTTCTTTCTCTCATTTTAAGGTCATCCTAGTTTCTTGGTAGCAGTGCAATAAGGTTTATGATTTTTCCAATCTGCTTTTTGACACTCCCTTGGTAAAATGCAAAAGAAGAATTAGTGTCTCTCTCTAAACTGAATGCCTTAAACTTTGCCTAGCCAATCTATAAAAATAAATAACGACTGATACGGCAGCCATGACATTATTCAAAAATGATCCTAACAAACTCCAAGTTGTCTTATGCTGTAGAACACATATCATAAGCTCTAACTGAGAATTATAAATTAAACCATGCAGTAATATTCAAAACGTAATGAGAGCAAACCAAAATGCTAGACTAACTGAAGTTAAAGATATTTAAAACCATTCAAGTGTAGGTACTTACTTGCTGCAGTATTTTTTCATACCACACTGACCACAAAATTTCAAGTTATGCTCCCTAACTTTTTTGGTACAAGCCTTATTTCCGCACATTGGTTGTATTTTTACATTCACAAAAAGTTGGTAGTAAGGTGCTATGCCATCTTTTAATGGCAGGTTAATAGGATCTAAGAAAGGAAGTCTTTTTTCTTCTGCATCTTGCCCAAGTTCAAAATACTTTCTGAATTCATCCCTGTTTCCTTCTAGGAAATGAATGTTTGCAAGATAGTAACAAGCGTTTGGGTATGTCTTGTAGCATGGTGGGGCCTCTACAAGATACTCTTTTAAAACCTTCACTGCTGTGTCTCTTAATTTTTCAGCAGTCCAGGAGTCATATTTGGAAATTTCTCTTTCATGTGGTTGCTGATTGTCAAGTCTGAGAAACTCTTCAGGTAACTGATGGCTTGAATCTTCTCTTTCAGAGACATTCCTGGAAACATACAGCAACATCATTAAGTAACCCAATGCTCTTTTGGCATCACAATATGCTGTGCACCACTTGACAGAGTTCTCAGCAGCCTCCGCACCTAGTTTGATAGCCCCTGAAATGGTGTAAAGGGATGCTAAATGTTCATACAAAACATGAAGCCAGCTGCTATAATTCTTATCAAACTCAAATGGGTGTTCACATGGAAGGCTGTTAGGTTCTGCCTTGTGAATGAAATTGATCAAGTTCATTATGCATATTATTTTTTGGCTGTCACTTCTTACTTGTTCGTCTGAAATTTTCTCTCTTATGATACCTTGCAGAGCATAGGACAAAAGGAGCCCCTCAAAGAAGCCAGGCTTCTTTATTAAAATTTCCCTACAAAGTTGGAGAATATGGGATGACAATTCATAGATCATAGGAAATGCTTGAAATATAGAGTTTTCAGTCAAATATCCATGAGCAATGAGAGTAATTCCTCTCTCATCAGTGAAGTTGCTCTTCTTCAGAACTTCAAGGCCATTTTTCACCAGTTTGTAAGCTTGAAGATAAATTCTTGCTGTTGGGGACCAATCATACTGATGTAGCATTTCCTCTGAGAAAGCTACAGGGTTAGAAATTGCCAATGGATGCTTAGCTGCTGTAGCTCTCTGGCTAAATTTTTCAGTCATAATGTCAAGTGCTTGTTTAAAAGCCTCTGTTGAAACTTCTGATGCATCGTGCCCTTTATCATCACTCATTTTAGACTGCTGAAGAAGCTGATAATCAAAAATATACATAGTACCAGTAAGTGGTTATGAAATGGTACATAGATGGTATTGTAAACACAGCAAGAATGTTTGATAGCAATTAACAACTGGCTGTTTTATTGTTTATCTAAGGCAGGTTTTACGTCATAGCCGAGACCTAATCCTGCAGCGGAAGATGAGCTATAACTTGTTTACCATCCACTCTTTTATAGCTAATATCAAATCTAATTCTTAATTACCCACTTGACAAACAACCCTTAAACTCCAAAGATCTTACTAGCCAATCACCTAGCTGCTCTACATCTCCCTAGAAGCAAGTTTATAGCAAACAGAATATTGAGGTGGTTCCTTAGTATTGCACTGTGCATCTTGTTCTTGCATAACATAACCTAAAAAAATAAGCACGTGGACATTCTGAGAACATGGGATCTTGCTATTTTCAGTCGATGGATGAGATAAACAGGTACAAGGGTCTTTTGCTCTTGAAAAAGTATAGTGCAGACCTATAATTTTTGTTGCATAATCTTGGTGTACAAAACATCCTCTTTAAATTTGAAAAATTTTTAAAAAATCATCGGGGAGAAAAAAGATATCACAAAGAGCATGCATGAAGCCCATAAATCCATAAACAAAGCAAATCATGACTGTGAAAGCAATGACTCACGGATTGTTTTGTGTCAGTGCTGTTTAAATTATGTGATTTTCTCATAAATTAGATAGCTAATGAATTGATCTAAACCCTCAAGACTTTTCACCCATCAAGTATTTAAACTTCTACATTAAAAACCCTTGCTTCTTGTTACTAAAAAACTTGAAATAGCTTGTGTGTGATAACTACCAGTACAGCCTTTAATGGGGTACATTGGTCCATCATATCTCTAGCAAGTATGGCGACAGATAGCTATCTTCTTTATTATAGTTCCCAAAACAGAAACTGGTTGAGAACATTTAAGGAAAGTCTAAAAGAAAATCATCTGATGACTTTTATTCAAAGGAATCACCTCAAAAAACGATAACAACCCCTGCAGAAAAGCTAGAATATTCTCATCACCTCTAGCTGTGCTGGAGAGTTTGTCATAATTGTTAGGAAAAGTATCATGTCATCCATTTCAGATCTAATGAGAGGGTCAATAAATGCTCCCCCACTGTTAGTGTTGCTGTCATCTACAATGCTTTATTCTTTTGTGATGCATAATTATGATCAAAGTTTGTATCTTGGAAAAGATTTAAGAAAACATGAAATAGAAGAATTATGGTTGTTTTTAGAATTATAAGTTTTAATTTCCCTCAGAATTTTCAAAGTACAGATTGAAGGAAGTTACAAATCTCGGCAATTCAAACGAAGCAATTGAAAGATAAAAATAGAACAAAAATAACTTCAATGCCCAAAGGGAAATTGTTTTCCCTAACAGGGGGAATTTGATTTGATTTAATTAACCCGATTTTCAGGCCAGACTCTGGGTAGGGATATGGGATTTTATCTAACAATTCTTCTAAAAAGTCAAGTTCTCCACTTATGCACGAAGTTCCCCTGTCTAGCCATCACTAATAGGTGCATAGAGCACAAGGCATCTAGCTAGCAGAAATACATGCTGAAGTAATTTATTCAAACACATCTCAGTTTTTCACATTAGAAGACCAGATTAAACCTACCTCTAAAGCCACGGCATTGCCTCCAGCAGAAGCTTTTTCAAGCCACCGTTTTGCTTTTTTCAAGTCTTTACTTTGCTCGCAATCTCCATCCAGATATATTTTTCCAAGGTTCAGTTGGGCCTCAGTGTTTCCTAGTTCTGCAGCTCTAGTCAAATAGTGAACAGCTTTTGTTGGCTGCGGTTTCCCTTCTGGGCAATCACCTACAAGATAATTCGCGTACAACTGTGTCAAGGCATCTTGTCGGAAATCAACGACAGCATTCCCCATTTTGCTCGTTGTTCCTGCAATAAGAAGCCCCTCAGTTCCTCTCTCTGTATTATATTCGACTGTACTTTCCCCAGCTGCTTTTTTGTACCATTCAAACGCTTCCTTGATGTCTTTGTTTACCACTCCTTCAACTCCACATCGATACATTTCAGCTAAATTAAGCTGTGCACATGTACTTCCCAGACGTGCTGCTTTGTGATACAAATCGTACGCCTTTCGTTGGTTGTGTGGCTCCCTTGTTAGTCCCAGTAATTCACCAAGTTTTAGTAAAACATAGGGATTAAAGCAGCCATTTTGTATTGCTGTGTCTAGCCACCCAATAGCTTTCTCGGTGTCTTTCTCCACGAATCCTTCTACACCTTCACTATAAGCGTCACCCAGGTCAATTTGGCAAGATAATTCACCCTTCTTGGCTCGACCGATTAAAACATCCACTGAACCATACGATTCTCTAAGACGACTTTCCAGATTTAAGTTTGCTGTGTTGCAAAAATTCATGTTCGATTACAGCATAGTTACTACTTGGAGACTACAAGAGAACTTCCGGGATTTGAGAGGAAGTCCTTTATTACGTCATATAACAGAACTCAGAGTATACCATAAGCGCGTTACTTTTCCCATCTTGAGTGAACTATTTCGTCCGCTGAAAGTACCGCAGGCTTGAGAATAAAATAAAAATAAACGAACGCTGAAAGAGACCATTCTGCGGAGGAAACAATAATATTTTCTCCGTTATGTTTCTACCAAAGAATCTTTTCCCAATTATAATAAAATTTTACGGAAACCGATTGAGAAACAGCAGAGTTACTTAAGCTCGCTGAATGTGATGAACATGCTACACCAGAGGAAACTCTGGGGTAGGAATCGTTTGAAAGGAAAATATTAAAATGGAGGCAAGCGAACTGGGCAGATTATCTCAAGGTGGTAAAGTTTCGTTCCATTTCATTCAGTAAACAATTTTTCACTGATTTGGCTATGAAATTACGGCGGATCCACGGATTTGCATACCAATAATATTTTCCCCCCTCCTAACAGATGGGCACTGTTAGCCGATAAATAATCTTTATTTAGCAATAATTTCCATAAAATCCTCTACAATACAAAATATTGACAGCGTAAAAAGCGATCCAAACTAACTCATTTTCGGCTCACATCTACTCCTTTTTTTTAATGTCAAAGCGTCTGGAAAACTATAAATAACGGAGTCAAATCTGAACAGATTCAAAGTCTAATAATCTGATAACCATATCTAAAAGCATATCTAAAACTATATAGAAAAGAGAAAGGTGAATGGAAAATCTAGAGCCCTATATACAAGGCTGCTAAAAATCATTAAACAATGTCAATGGCTCCCTCGGCAGCTGCGCTGCACTGTTAGCCGATAATAATAATAATAATAATAATAATAATAATAATAATAATAATAATAATTGAATATTTATCCAGGATAGCCCTTCAGTGTACAACTGTACGGGTCCGTAAATGATCCCAGGACCGCAAATGATCCCGGACCGCAAATGATCCCCAAATTGGACCGTAAATGATTCCGGACCGCAAATGATCCCTAAATTGGACCGTAAATGATCCCGGACCGCAAATGATCCCCAAATTGGACCGTAAATGATTCCGGACCGCAAATGATCCCTAAATTGGACCGTAAATGATCCCGGACCGCAAATGATCCCCAAATTGGACCGCAAATGATCCCTAAATTGGACCGCAAATGATCCCGGACCGCAAATGATCCCGACTAAAAAATAAGGGATGGCATGGATTGATGTGAAAACATGTTTCATTACTTTAAAAAATATATTCCATAGCTGATTTTTTTTTCGATTTTAGCGGAAAATCTGTGACATTGCGTGACGATCTGTCGAGTAACACACACCGTTTTAAGAGCCAAAGATTTTGTCGATTTCAAGACCTTTAGCGTAGTATAATAATTTTCTAAAGACATTTGTTGTGATCGTGGGCTACGAATCTTCTGTTTATTGTGTAGAACGTTGGAGAACATGCTTAATCGGATTTCATTTCTGTTGCATATGACCAATGCTTCCAGTGCACGTGTGATTTCAGTGAAATCGGGCATGTAAAAATCACAAGGACAAAGGAGAATTAAAATACACACATAGTATGATAGCTGTAAAAAAACTTAAATTTCCGCAGTTGATTTCACCGATTGCCTGATGAAATAAAAGTCTTTTGTTCAGCATCCTTGTTGAAAATTGTACCCAGAGTACCAGAGGTATTTCTCCCTGACATTAATGGGTGATCAGCCGACTGGTGAGAGATAGGCGAGAAACGCGCAGGCTTCCATGGCTTCCATCGCTCCGACGAAGGGCTAACGCTCGAAACGTCAGCTTTTGTAATCATTACGGTGGCCAATTTACCATTTCAACTTTGTTGATATATCCAAATTATTTCGTTACTCCCACCGACGCAGCCCCAAACAGTTTCTTTCGACTATCAGCCTTTTTTCCATGGTGATAGGTTGAAATCGGATCAGGGGTTAAAGATCAGTTCACCCGTGTCACCGCCGTGTGAGGAGCGCTTGCAACGGGCTCGAAAAATCTGGAAAATGGCAAAACTGCTTTTTCTCATTTCATTGTTAACATTTGTGAGTGTTCTTGGAGTAGTTAAAGATGAGAACAAAAATAAGGATGCAAGGAATAACGAGGTAGGTTTGGATCCTGGCCTGCAATTCAAATCAGCAGTTTTATTTGTCAGTTGTCAGTTGTTGGAGGTCCACATAGTCACTGGATGCCGGTTATGGGTGAGCATCATGGCTGGGCCTATATCATCCTCTGAGTGGTGCAGACCTCGAGTCCTACTCCAACCTCCTCGTGGTGCCCCCTGGATTTCCAACGAAAAGGAGAGGACGACTGCGGGTGCTTGGCGCAGTATAACCAGACTTGCTCCAGGCAAGTGGGGTTCGTCAACCATGGAAGGCTGCTCATCTAGGAGAGAGGAACTCCGATAATAAACCCACGGGCGGGTGGGGCTCATTAGCCTTGGTCGGCAACCCACCTAGGAGACGGTGGGACCACCTGGCTATGAAAACTCAGCTGTGTGCTGACGTGGGAGACTATAAAGGCTTCTACGAGGCGCTGAAAGCAGTGTATGGCCCTACCCACCAGGTACAGAGCCCCCTGCGCAGCTCAGACGGTCAGGTTCTCCTCACTGACAACACCTGCATCCTCGCTCGCTGGTCCCAACACTTCCAGACCCTCCCCAGTGCTAACCGCACTGTGTAGGCCTCTGCCATTGATCGTGTTCCTCAACTCTCACTCAAAGAGGAGCTCGATGAACCACCCGCCCTCGATGAAGTGAGATTGATGAAAAATCAACTCAAGAATCGCAAAGAAGTAGGAGTTGACGACATTCCACCAGAAATCTGGCAGAATAGGGGTCCGGCGCTCCTTAATAAACTTCACGCTCTCCTCGTCTGTTGCTGGGAGCAGAGTAAGCTGCCGCAAGATCTTCGTGATCCTACTATCATAACCCTGTACAAGAACAAAGGTGTAAAGTCTGACTGCTCCAACTACCGGGGTATCACACTACTTTCCGTCGCTGGCAGAATACTTGCGAGGATCCTGCATAACAGGCTTGTACCAACCATCGCCGAAGAAAACATCCCCGAGAGCCAGCGTGGCTTCAGAGCCAACAGAGGCACGACGGACATGGTGTTCGTCCTCCGCCAACTTCAGGAAAAGTGCCGTGAACAAAACAAAGGACTCTATGTCACTTTTGTTGTTAATAAATGTCAAAGGCTTAGCCAAAAGGAGAGCAGCGTCTGTCAGTGATCCCTGGGGAAAATCATTTATCCAGGCCAGACACTTTATTCCGCTTAAGAGTTTTCAGTTCTTTAACGGAATTTCTTCAGCAGGTTTGTCCCAAACAAAGTCACGCGGAACGATTGATTTGCTTTTCAATTCTCGAGCAACGGTGCTGAAATATTCGCAAAAGCTGTTTGCAATGAAGCTTTTGTCAGTTGACTTTGATCCATTTATAATAAACGCCGAACCCTGTTCAGAAGGTAACTTGGTAGGATAGAGTTTCTTGATGACTGACCAAAATTTAACAGGACAGTCGTATAATCTTTAAGGAGGTCTCGATTATATCTGCTTTTACGGTTTTTAACAGGGCCGGAGACTCTGTTTCGTTGCCGTTTATAAGAAGACCAGTCTTTTTCTAGATTCATCCCACGGGCTTTCCTGAGCAAACCATTCCTCACATTCATCTCTTTTTTGACATTCAGAGTCAACCAAGGACATAGTCGGCCTTTAACTTTCTTTGAAATAAGGGGAGAAGGTCTCGAAAAAAGGCCCACGCTTTATCTACGCAGACAGATGAGTAAACTTCTTCAAACTTCGCAGAATTTAGCTCTTCACAAAAAACCTTAGGGTCGTGGTTAGCAAAATTTCTGCAAGTAATAATTCGCGGATTGCACTTAACATTGTTCAGCTTGCGAGCACATCCGATGAGTTCATGATCGCTTAAACCAGCCGGCATGACTTTCACTGACTGGATGTTATGAGGGTGTTGGATTCTCGCGTGATTCTCGTGGGGCTGGTAATAAGTTGTTTCAGACCTAAGGAGTTGAGAATGGATTTGATTTCTTTGTGATCCGAGGAAACAAAAAAGTTACAATTAATGTCCCCTGAGAGAATACATTCTTTGTTTTCGGCAGACACCGTCGAAAGCATTGATTCAAATTTGCAATTGAGACCTACTCAGAGATGTTTAGAAGAATCTGGAGGGCGGTAAATAATTCCGATTAAAAAATCTTTAGTTTTAGGAAATGATATCTCAATCCAGATGCATTCAATACTCTCTTGTTCGAGATCTATTCGTCTTTGAAATGGTATAGACGAAGAAATATAAACACCAATACCTCCACCTTGACCAGAAGCCCTTGACTTTGCAACAAACGTGTAACCTTCAACTTAGACTTCGGCTTCGCTTTCGGAGGATAAATGCGTTTCGCTAAGTGAAAAAATGTGTATATTCCTGAAGCCATCCAAGATTTGGCAAATGATACTTTTGTTTGCCAATAAGCCTCTAATGTTTTGATGCAGAAATTTAAGGCCCTTTTTAGAGACAAGCTCGCTAAGTTCAGGAATGTCATATCGATGATGAACATCTTGTTGATCATGGTCAGTTCCATCTTGGGTGTTATAGTGACAAATCCAATTGAAGATTGGGCAAAATTAATGTAGCATACAAACATGAGTCAGCAATCCTCCTGCTAAATTTCGGCATGCTGTCAATGGACTGTTTTGAGCTTAGAAACGCCTTAAACTGAAAGGCAAACTAAGACGAAGGGTCGAAGGAAATTGAGCGCGGTTACGCTGTTCAATCCTTTACCCGCTCCAGTCCTGTTCCTGTATTTCCATTTTTCTCAGGATAGGGGATTCCCCTCGCGTTGCTGTTGCTGGGATTGGTTCAGAGGATGCGGCTTTACAAGAGGCTCGTGAGGGATGTCTGTTGAACATGCGACAACTTGCGATAGCCAATGAACGAGCAAGATACCACAAAGAAACGAAGAACGACTTGGAAACAGACACCGATTCCGTTCAAAAGAATTCATCCTTCAAAAATAGTACTGAGTACTAATGTGACTAAAGTATAAATTTTGAAGCACCAAGCAATTATTTCTCCTGTCATTTGTATAATCTGTAGTTTTAATAAACTCGACTTTTCATGTTATGAAATAACGCTTCTTTTGCTGCCTTGGCACTTACTTGGCACTGGGCTGGAGCGAAATGAGGGCGAGGTGTTATTCAGGCGTGTCACGTTGTTGTACAAAGAACGCTTTAGAACATTATATGACTTTTTGTTTTCTTAAAATGTAGCCTTGTTTCGTTTTGATTGTATGATTATAAAATAAGCTTTTTTTGGCTAGCCGCACAAAGAGTTGTTTCATTTTAGTTTCCTTTACGTCATAGAAGTATACTAGGTATTTTTTCGCGCGAACATTTTAGTTTTAAGGAGTTGTCCCTGGAATAAAGAGGAGTTTTATAGGAGTCTGTCGGAGTTTTTTTACAACTTGGAGTTTTCTCATCCCCGGAGCCAAGATCAGACGTAAGTCACGATCGTTAGTTGTGTTTTCTGTCTTCAGATTTATATTTTAGCTCGTTTCCTTAGCTAAGACAGATTGTGCACTCCTGGCTTCGACAAACTGCTTGAAGATGGCCCCTCTTCTTGCATTTTAAGCAGGTGGCATTCCTAGCCGGGCATTGCTTCCGGTCTTGGTGTGGGTGGTTACCACACCAGGAGCACTTGTTGATACTCTGAGGGGATTGTTTTTTCCAGGGGTGTTTTTGCTTATTATTCTGGCCTGCACGCTTGACCATGTTTACGGAGTTTGTGTTAGTTGGTGTACTTCCCCATATAACCTCTCTACTTTGTTGTCTGGCTTCTGCCTGTCTACTAATTTGAACTGCTTCTTCTAATGTTAGCTTCAATTTGGATTGAAGTCGATCAGAAAGTTCATCATCTACCACTCCGACAATTGTTCTATCACGAATAAGTTCATTTTTGAGTAGACCATACTCACAGTCATCCGCGAGTCTGTATAGGTCTTGTATAAATGAATCCACAGGTTCTCCCAGTCTTTGGACTCTTTTAATGAATTTGGCGAGCTCAACCAGCACGTTGCGACAGATTTCAGAGTACTCGTTAAGGGCTGTTTTCACTTCTTCGTACGAAGCTTGTTCTTCGTCGATATTTAGGGTTTTAAGAATATCATCGGCGCATTCACCCATAGTGTAGAGTAGAGTTCCGACTTGCTCGATGTCTGGTTTATGTTTGAGGCCAGATGCAATCCGATATCTTTCGAAACGACGAAACCATTTCGACCAAAGTTCAGCTTGTTGTGGTGAATTTGCTCCGCTGAACTTTTCCGGAGGAGGGAGATTATTCGCCGTTTGAGCTTGAAGTTGAATTAGTCCAGGGTTAGAATCTTCTGTATCAGGCATTATGTAGGGCTAACACCGCTGCCACCATGTAATATTAAGAAGCAGGATGAGACACTGGAGGGGAGCATCAAGGACAAATTAAATTAAAGGATGAGATATAAAAAAAAAATTCCTCACCTATATTATAGCGGAACCCCCTTTCTTTCAAACAATAAGCTGTGTTTGTTCAACTGTTCTATCTTTCCCTGTTTCTGGCCTGAATTAATTTTTGAAAGCAGTTTCCACTTTTTAGCATGAAACAGTCTCAAATGCAATTGATTATCCATGGAGAATGACCCGGGCACAATACAACTGCAAACATTCTACAGTCTACCACATCAAAAAAATAAATAAATAAATAAGTAAAATAAACAGAGCATTATCTACAAGGTACAAAAGCCTTAGCTCTAAATTAAAGAGGAGACAGCAAATCCCACAAAAGTAAACTGCCTCAGTGTGAGATATATTGCACCTTTTGTAACAAATGACAGATAATATGAGATACAGCTAGATGGTGGGAGATAAGTTAAGAGATCTAGTGAGTGCTATTGAGCTTTTTGAAAGATCACTGCAAAAATATTTCTATTTAGTTAATACAGAAGGTTTTCATAGTTTTGCATCAATAGTAACGTTAATATCTGTGGGAATGGTAAACTAAATACACGATCAAGGTTTATATATATAATTATAATACACTTGAAACTTATGAATAAGAAATTGTGCTGTTTGTTAAAGCAACTCTTGAAAAGTATCTTTATTCCTTTATTCTGTTTGACCAAGCTTATAATTCACCAATTATACCTATCTCTCTATTTGTCACTCAAGTGTAGTTTTGTTGAACACAGCCAACTAATTCCAGCATGTACAGTTTGTGGGTCAGTGCCTTTCATATTGTGATATAAACACAATAGTCTTTTTCCACTGGTGCAATTAAAGAAAACTGGTGAGCAAATAACGGAAGTATATACTTTTTATATGTTTTAGTTGAGTTAGTAAATGGAGTAAACTGATCTTGACCATACAACCTCAAAGGCACTTGAAAACATGGTAAAATAATTTGACATTAAGAGTGTGTCCAGGTGAAAACTGGGCAGAACCAGGCAGGAGCGATAAACCTCAAGTCACTGATTTGGCTCAAATGTGGCACAAATGCTAAGCATCGTGAGTTAACAAATGTGTGAAAATAATAGGTCAAAATATTTAATTCTCTGGGAGATATAGGGTCCCCCTTGGGAAAACCCCCCATTTCCTACAGTTTTTACATAATTAATTAGCTAACTTTGCATTGCTGATGTGACAAACTGAAAGTCCATCTGCACATTCAGTCAACTGGATTGTATTCTATATCTAACAGAATTCAAGAAAATTGAATTGTTTTAACTTTTCCAGTTCATTTCTTTCATTAACTCTTGCTTAAGTAAAGATGACTTTTTTCTGGTTTTGAAAAGTCCAAAAATAATGGTATTTTTAGCCCAATATCTCCAATGACCAACTACTTCTGATCATTATTCCTAATTGGGCAGTGAAAGCTGAATAGGCGTTCCTGTCGAAGCCTATCCCAAAGTCGATAAGAACGTGACGAGGGACAGAATCTTTGTAGAAATCCCCGTTTTATTCTGAAAACAATCAGTTAACGGCTAAATCACAATGCTGCTAAGGTTACGAAAGTTACCAACATACCGACAACCGGCTAAAATAACTAACAAGAAATCCAAAAAATAAGAACGCCAAGATAAAACAACAAAGCCTACCGATTATCGACGTTTGGTAAAGGATCCGGAGGCGGACAAGGTAAAATTAAACAGCTTCGAAAGATACAAAATAGCTCGAGCACATGCACGTGGAAAAAAGGAGCCGTGTTTTTTTTTTTGTATGCCCGGATGTCGGGTGAGAAACCGCTGTCCAAATGAGGGCGTTGAGCATAGGCCTCAACAAAAGCCATTACTGGAACCCGTGCTGATGTGAAATTTACATCTACCTCCTGCTTTTTAGTCTATATCACCAAAATTTCATACACCACATCTTTGTTTTAGTAACTTAAAATAACTTGAAATTTACAAGAAATTTCCCAAAGAGTATCGTTTAAACATGAACAAGGAGAGAATCGTTGAATAGTGCAAGTTGAGCTCTTTTTCAGAACTTTTTTCACAGCCATATTTGGAGTATTCTCGAGGAAACATAGCAGTTGATGATGAACATTATGGCACATGTAGTCAAACTTTCTGACAAAAGAAATCTAGGAAGAAACTTGATAGTACATACATGTCTCTGTGGTGCCTCAGTTGCAACTTTTGGCTTGATATCATTCGTGAGATAAGTAGCCATTATGTCAACAATATATTAGATTCGAATTGCTTCGTTGCCTTGTTCAAATATTAAACGCAGACAGAGTTCTTGCAAAGATCCATCAAAATGATTGGTCTTTTACAGCGTGATACTTATCGACTTACATGATATGTGTTGGTGGCCTGGGGTGAATCCAGGATTTAGTAAAGGAGGGTTTGGAAAATTGTGCGAGGGCATTCTCCCCCGGGAGATTTTGAAAATTAGACCTTCGGAAACATAATTTCCAGTATTTTGAGGGACAATTTAGGGGGTTCGACCGAACCACCCAAACCACCTCTGGATCCGCCTCAGGTGGCGAAAAGATAATTTGATGCACTAAAAGCTGATGTCGATCAAAAGGACAATCCATCATCTTTGATTAGATTGCACCTGCAATTTTGTTCAGCAGTAAACTTTGACATTTATTTGGCATGTTGTGTTTTTAGTCTACAGAGTTTAAAATGCAACAAAGACTTATGGCTACCAAAATATTTGACTTGTTATTTTTAAGCTTGAGATAGTTGCTGGTTCACCTAAAAAACAAATGAGCCGGTGATATATTGATCTCCTCTCAGCACTCTAATTTTGTGGTGTTATTTGTTAAATAAGTGCAGAAAGTGATGGTGAAAAGTAACACTGCCTCCTTCTGTGTTTTTGTTATCATCCCTATCTCAAATAGCAACCTGTTTATAACCCCTAGGTCATAGAGTAATGTTTTTAGTTCCATTAATTTGCATATTCATTGATTATGTAACTACGTTTTACATTTAATTTCATGCACATTAACCACAAATAGCTTACTTTACTAATAGCCTTGGTCCCTCTTTAGGCTGCCATGGCAACAGGCACGAGCAAAACCCCCATTTTGTTCATGCCAACAACACTTCCAGGACCTCCAGCCACACCCACAGTTCTTACAACTCCCTCAGCAGCAGTAGGCCCTGGTGGGTGAAATAATTTTGTTATTTTCATTAACTGTAGAATTTACACTCTATCTCTGGCCCCTTTGGAGGCAGGTAGTCTTTTTTTTCACAAGAATCTCAACATCTCCTGTCAGGTGAAGCAGAGGAAAATATCATACCATTTACTTGGGAGGGGGGCAGGGAGGTAGTTACCCTTAAGAGTCTGAGGGTGACCAGGGGTTTCATTAAGGGCCAGGTACTGGGCGAATTGATTGGCTGTAAGGACAGATTTGCACACCTGGTTTGACCATCTACTGTAGAGGAAAGTTTATCCCATATGGAAGTTTAGTTTAAAAAGTTTTGCTGCCTGTGAAAACTAGTTGGTATTAATGAAACCCCTGGGTGACTACCGTAATACCTAATTCCTCCTTACATTATCACTCCTGAATCACATATTAAGTTCATGAAAATAAAGGAAATGATCACCAACTAAAAAAGCTCTTGATTGCTAAACATGTTCTCCTTGTCAGCACCTTAGTAAATGTATAGAGAACAGTATGGAGAATATGCATACTGATGTTAGGATGCAAACGGTTAATGGGTATGACCCCCTCCCCCATAATACTCTATTCTGTGGCTAATTTAAGACCCCATCTCAGTCACTTTTGGGAAAATGTGATTTTTGTGATCCCAATCAAACAGTAAAGATTAGCTTCCATTTTTTAATCCCTTTTTACCAGAAGTTTCATAATTACCCCCAAAATTCTAAAAATGTGCAATCCCATTGTAGTAACTCAAATGAAAATGCAACACTATTATATTATGACTCCATCCAATGGTGTGGTGGCCTCATGGTTAGTGCACTTGATTCTGGATTGAGTGGTCCACCTGGTTAGAACCCTAGCCAGGGTCATAGTGTTGTCTTCTTAAGCAAGGCACTTTACTCTCAAAGTGCCTCTCTTCACCCAGGTGTTTAAATGGGTACTGGTGAATTCAATGCTGGGGGGTAACCCTGTGATGGACCAGCATCCCATCCAGGGAGGAATAGAAATACTCCTTGTAGTTTTGTGCTGCAGAAACCAGAGTTAATGCCAACCTGATGGGCCACTTAGTTGGTAAACAGACTTTACCTTACCATCCAATGGTACATCCCCTTTAGCCTGTAACTGGAAAGTATCCCCCCTGGGCATTGAGTGCAGCCATGTTCTGATCACATGCTATTTCCTGGACCTTGATTAATTTCTTGTATTAAAATGAATCTATAAGGAAAAAATTGATGAAATTGTATACTTAGCAGGATTCGTGAAAAATAACCATGTGGAAGGTCACATGATCACTATGAATGGTTCTTATTTGTAATTATACATATACATACATACATACATTAATTGACCACTCCCTCAGGGCTTTTTAGGGCCATTCTTACAACACCACCCACCCATCCCACCCCAGGGGAGGACATCCACCAAACAGTAATCTCGTGCGTGGGAAATTAACGTCTCCTACCCATAACCCTGCAGGGGACGGGGCCTACGGTTTATTCGTCCTTATCCGAGAAGACTAGAATATCTATCCATTTCTTGATATTATAGAAAGGTAGCAAATTCTCCTCAGTTATTTTAAAACCATGAGTATTGGTCTGGCCGGGGCACGAACCCTCGACCTCCAGCACAACACAATCCGGCGCTCTAACCAATTGCAAATGAGCTAACCGGGGCAAGAAACCCCAGCAAGAAACCAACTTAGTGCCAAGTGCTAATTAGAGAGAAAAAGGAGTCTAGGCCAATTTCTGCT